TTAATTTACTCTAATCCTGCCTAAAAGCATTTCAAGTGCTGCTGCTGTTGAGAATTCCCTCTTTTTTTCTTTTTTTTTTTTAGAAAATGAAGGGAAATAAGATATATCAATAATTCGGTTCCATAAATTTTATGTGCAAACCCACCAAGGGTTTAGGTCTACTGCATTAGTTACCTAGGGTTAACATTTCTGAATTACAAGTGTGAAATGCTATACTGTAGTATAGGCCTAGTTAACTGTTTATCGGCACTAGCTTACGCCAGAAATTATGCGAACAAATACTAGTAGCAGTATTGTTTGGAAGTAAAATGCTGACCTTATGTCATGGCAGTGTGTCTTTCTATCTATCTGTCTGTCCTTCAAGATTTTCAAAGTGCTGCTGTTCGAAGATAGTGTAACTGATTGTCGTAAATCTTGGTCAAGTAGTCAAACATATTTAGGTTGAATTTTGTTTGTAGAAATTAGGCCTTTAAACTTATCCTCCCAAGGATTTTGTCTAATCTTTCTCAAAGTAAATTAAAGTTGTATACAATTCTTAGGTTAAAGGTAATTTGGGGTCATGAGGGAGCAAAAGCTAGAAATCTTATAAAGCACTTGTTCTCTTTATGTGTAAGTCTTATCTTTCTCAAAGTTGGATAAATTAGTAAGTGAATAGAGATGCCTGAAATTTGTTCATGATTTGTAAGGTCACTAGAGATCAAATCCTGGAAATTTTTAAAATGCTTCTTCTCCCAGGGATTTTATTTGATCTTTCTCAAAGTTAGACAAATTAAGTGGAGAGAAGTGCCTAAAAGTTGTATAAATTTCCAGATCAAATGTCATTTAGGGTCAGGTGGGAGTAAAAATTAAGAATCCTATTAAGGTCACAGGGCATTTTAGATCAGCGTGATACCTTCTTTTTTTTTATTTTAATGCTGTTACTTCATAAGTCTCATTGGTTTAAATTAATACCTACCTACATGATAAACATATGGTAGGAGAGGCCAGCTTCCCAAGCCTCCAATCAAAAAAATTAATTGGGATTTTCATTTCTATTCTGTTAACATTAACGTGTACTGTGGCCTTAGTGCCCTGCAGTGATTTTTTTATTTGATTTTTTTGATTTGGTGCCCTTGAAAATTCATCCAAGGCCAAATGGCCTTGTATTAAAAGTGATGAATTTCCCTGCCAGTTGTATGAAGATTCAAGTATTTCCTCCTTTTGCACAATCTTGTAACTATTTAATTTTTAGATACTGAGTTATATCTGTCTTCATTTTGCATACCATTCCTTATCAAAAATATCAGTACCAATTGCAAATATTAAAATCTTTTGTAATTTTTTTTCTCCAAGCAGCATCCATTTGACTGTTTTTGGCATTTCTGTAGCCAGAGAAATACTGACAAAAGTGGCAGGATAAGTATGTGATGAAGATATTTAATGAGTAGTTGTTGTCTGTGTCTTCCATTTTTACCAAATTACTCTTATGATACCATGTATTTCAAAATCAATTTCCTATTTTTCAGACCACTTCTACTGGCGAGGAACCTCTAGAAGAATCACAGTTTTCTTCATCTGTTGAAACACAAGGTAAGTTGGAATACATTTATTTTCTACAAACTAATTTGAACATTTTCATACTGCCTGTCTTTGTATTTACAATTACCAAATTTTGTGGTGGTCCTTCTTATACAATCTGAAAGTGAATATTTTGGATCTGAACCTCCATGCTAGTTAGATCAAGTTATTTATGAGCCAGACCATCAGAAGTGAGATGCTCTTATCTTAACATTTGTTTGTTTAAAAATCAGTTAATTTGGAACAAATATAACATCCTATTATTAATGTCTAATCTATTATACACTTAAGAAAAATGTTTAATGTCTGTAGAGTTCATGTTTAAATTATATTTATTGTTCTTCTTTCTATAGTCATTCAGTAAAAAGTACACTCCATTTGCTTTGGAAATTGTCTCTTTTTGAAAATGTATGGTAGAAAAAGCTTATTTTGCTTTCAATTTGCCAGGTAATTACACTGCAACATAGTTTGTAAGTTTTTTGTTTATCCAAAACTGGCAAGTAAAATCATACATTTTGTGTAATAATTTTGATGTTTAGACCTGTTTCCACGAATAACACAAAATGTATAGTAATATAATAAAGTAACAGAAATGGAAAAAACTAGTACCATTTACAGTTTTTGTATTTTTTGTTATTTCCAAACAAAAATGTTCATTAATTGTACTATTACCTGGCACACCTATAGAAGCATGAGTGGAACTATAATTTTACTGCTGCACTGTTTTTGTAAAAGTTAAATACAAGAAATTCTTGGACTTCTTTATGACAGCTTAATTTCCCACCATTTTATTTACTGTCCCATTTTCTGAACTATACTATGTGAGTTAAGCACATTAATGTGCATTTTTTAGATTTAAATCAAAACACTACCACAAAAATCCTATAAAATTATTTTTATATTTTTAGTTCCTTTTCTATAAGCCCTCTGCTTAAAAAGTGAAATTAATGGTTTTGAATTTTTTATAATTATTTAAAGTTGTAAAAAAAGTTCATAATTAAAATAACAAACTTAGATTTAGACCTATTTGTGGTAATTAATATGCAGATTTAGATCTAAATTTGTGTGGCTAAAAGTTTTGTCCAAAGTGTAAGTAAACTATGATCCTGACACAAACCATGATGTATCAAATTTACTTAATAGTAACTAAGTTACATAGATACAATGGTTGAATAGCAACTAGTTGTTTAGACTGAAGAATCCTGTGTTGGCTCTTATTATATTAAAATGGCTGTTATATAAAATATTGTTGGCATTATAAGCAATTAACAAGTTCAACACTCGATTAACAAAAGTTGTGAAAATAATTTTTATAAGTTGTTACTGGTTTTTTAAAACATGTTTACACATTCTTTCAATGTGATTTCTGGTTTGCTTTGGCAGAAACATCTAGTTACTCACAAATGCAGAGTTCTAATTTTGGTCAGTCTAGAGGAAATTATAATCCCAACCGTGGTGGTCAAAGAGGAAGAGGAAGAGGTGGTCCTGCAAATGGTTACAGTAAAGGTATTGGCAGTGGGCGTGGAGGATACAGCAATGGGCGAGGTAATGTGTATTCCCTTAAAGAGTTTGTAACTTGAATGTATATGGTATCACAATATTTTCTGTAGTTTTGTTTGACTAGCAAAAAAAAAAAAAGATGAACAATTTACTTGGTAGATGATATAAATGTGTTTGAATAAAAATTTTCATAAAAAAGAATTTGTGTGTCATAAGCAAACTCATTTTTTTCATCAGAAGCTCACAAATTAGATCAATATTCATGATTATTACATGTCATGTGCAACATACTGAAAGGTAAATGTGCTTTACAAGAATGATGATTTAAAATTGTAATCTTAAAACTACTTCCTTTGTCATCCATCTTGCACAATCTGATGACCTTGTAACTATACTATTACCCAATACTGCAGTTTTTATTATAGCAGACATTCGTAAAAGTTGGGAAATTATCATCAAAGGAAATCAGCTTCCAAGATCATTTATGAGTAGATCAAAGGTAGAGTGTTTTCAGCCATTATATAATTTCAGGATTACTGCAAATTTTCTTTACCTTGAACATTGTCACGTTTTTAGAAGATCATAATTAGCACAAGCAGAGATTGCATGTTAAATTCACAAATCTATAGTTAAATCCATTCTATAGATTACACTGTTCTTTTATCATTGGATCAAACAAAACTGTTTGGGATGTTTTCAGTTACTGGAACTTCTAACATGGGGTCTTTGTGCAAGAAATATGGCAGTTTATTATGTTTAAGTTATATGCAGCCACTTGTTATCAATGTGGGGCATTAATTAAAACTGCATGTGTATCTGCCAAGATATAAACCTACTTTATTGTAAGCAAGCCTATATAACCAGCATATGATTTTTTTAACAATACCAAGTGACTAACTTTGATTAGATATGTGTAGTCTTTAACTTTATCAAGAACTGCTTTATTGACTTGTGTATTTTTCTTGAGAAAAGCTTTGTTAGGCTATAAAATGCACTCTCAGCTAGTTTAGATCTACCAAACTTTGATACTGACTCAGAACCTGTTGCAGATAACAGTCACATAAAATAGAAAACATTCAGTCAAATGATTGTGATGAACCTGTATCCATTTAGACTAGCATTACTATTGTTGATGAAGTTTCCAGTTCATCAAAGAAGATTGAATTTGAGCAGAAGTTTTAGTTCTCTTGGTCAGATTAATTTAAATGGTTATGATACCAGAGTAAAACAATCTTATGACCCTTCATTTATGTTTTAAAAAACACTAGAATGAAAAAAAAATACAAGAATTACCATATTTCAATATTGAAGTGATACCAATAATCCTCTGATCATATGTAGTCTGTTTGGCATTCAGCTATGCATGATAACTTTGTTACAGCTATTACATGTATGCAAGTATT